ATAAGAAAATGCAATTGTGTTTTCTTATTTTAAATGTAAATTGTTGTGTTCCATTGGCAAAATGTGTCTTTTACCCTCTCAATTAAAAAATAAATGCACTTATTTTAAGAAATAATTACTTATTTAGATTTAGTGTAGCTTGGTGTATTAAGAGGAGAGGAAGTGAATAATCCATGAAAGAAGGGGACCTGACCACCATAAGATGTCCAACCTCTGATATCCAAGCTGAGAAAAACCTGAAAACCTGCCTGTGATCATCTGTGATATAACATAGAGCTGCAGCTGCTGTCATACTGGAAATAAATCCACCGGCTTCATAACGACACAGCGCTGTGGGAGCCAAGCAAAGCGCTAACCTTGCCCTCCACCTGTCTTTATTGGACTGGGGTCCGGCGTACTTTTATCAGATGAGTGAAAATTGCAGGCAGAAAAGTGTTGGGAGTTCACTTAAAGATGAGAGACTCCGTAAGTCTCTCTGCCATTTCCAAACACACCAGCTGGTCTGGGAGGGTTTGCTTTGCAGAACCCTGCCTCCTAGCTGCATGTCGGAGGGCAGGTCACATGCAGAGGTAATGTGACCGCTGTCTGCTGACATCATTGACTCTCTACAGACAGAATATGCATGTACTTACATAAAGGTCCCATACCAACATAGTAACTTTTACACTGCAAAAATGATCCAGAAACAAGTAATAATGTTTTAAATTAAGTGTATTTACCCTTAATTTGAGCAGGTAAATAAGATGATCTGTCAATGGAATGAGTATTTTTACTCTTAAAATAAGATAATTAGATAAAATGCACTTGAAATAAGACAATGCAATATTTTTTCTTATTATAAATGTTAATTGTCTTGTTCTGTTGGCAAAGTGTCTCAATTACCACCTCAGTTCAAGAGAAAATGCACTTATTTTAGGAAAAATGACTTATTTAGATTTACATTTTATGCAGTGTAAAAGTATTCAAAGTCGGCACATTTTCCCATTTTTGTGAATAACCAAAAGGAAAACCCCTGAAGCCTTCAAAGAACAGCAGGATGTGCAGAGATTAAATGACATACCAATGAACTAAGCAATTACACTGCAAAAAACTATTGACAAATAATACACTTAAATAAATTAAGTGTATTCACCCTTTAATTTCAAGCTGGTAAATAAGATGATTTGCCAATAAAAATTTGTATTTTTGCTCTTAAAATCAGATAACTAGATAATATGCACTTGGAGTAAGACAAGAAATTGTTTTTTTCTTTTTTTAAATGTATATTCTTTTGTTCCATTGGCAAAATGTCTCACGTACCCCCTCAATTCAAGAAAAATTCTATTTTTTGCAGTGTAGCTGTGTAGGATTTTCATTACACCCAAATAAGATAGATTGATTTTTTGGCTGTAATGTGAGACTATGCAGAAAGTTAGAGAAGACATGAAATCCATGCAAGGCCCTAAACATATAAAGCTGTTCTAACGTTAAAAACAATCTTCAGAAATGTATGGCCTTGAGTCTATATCCCAAATGAGTGCACAATTGGAGGTAAAAAGCTAAAGAAACAAGTGTGACAGCTGCTATACATCAGCGAGATGTCAGAGTAATGCTAAAAATCTTCTCTAACCACATTTAAAGTGAGCTACATGGCATTTAACTTAGAAGAGCTTTTCCCATTAATCATGAGTAAAGCACTGCATGTGATTTAGAATATTAGCTTGGGAATGAGACACTGACAAACATATCGCCCTGTGATGCATGAGTGTGTGAATCTAAAATAAACCTGCTGATGAAAGTAAATAAATCAGTGTTTCCCACCTTGGTGTGCGGCGGCGCAGCTCTCCAGCGCTGCATCCACAGCGTCGCCAGCGTTTGGGCCGTCAGCCATCTGATCCAGAGACACTTCAGCGACAGCAGCAGGGGGTTCTAATTCCACGAGGTGAGCATCCACGGTGTCTGACAGTGGATCAGGGTCCTGTGATAACGAGACGGCTAAAGTATTCTCAGCTGATCCTGCTGAGACCGTCGTCTCCGAGTCTTCCTGTTCAATTTGCTTCGGGACATTTCCACTTTCCTCTACTGTATCCGATTTATCATCCACATCCATCTGTTGATCATCATTAACGGGACCGTTGGCTTCGTCCTTCTCTCCCACAGACATCTTTGATGCTTCATAGTCGACCTCAGCATTCAAATCAGAGCTGCAGGACTCCCTGATGTCTGTTGGAGAATCCTCTGCCGTTGAAACAGCTGGATCCGAAACTGAATCCTGTTCAGGAAGTTCTGGGAGCACTTCCTCGCTGGACTCAGGAGTCAAACCCTCCACTGCGTGGATGTCAGCTGACGGACTGGATTCAGACTCTGTGCCGTTTTTACTACCATCTGGAGGCGTCAGGGAACCGACAATAACAGAATCCAAAGAGAGATCGGTGTCGCCACCTAATGAGCCATCGTGACAAAGTGATGTCAGATCAGTTGGGTCCTCCATACATCCTGTTGAGGATATTTCTACAGTGGCGTTTGGAAGCAGATCTCCCTCCTCTCTGGTGCCGTTGTCCTGAGCAGGGTGAAATATTTCTGTCGAGGAGCTTCCGCAGGATCTGAAACTGCCTTCCTCATCGCTTGAGACGCGGTGTACCAGGCCTGAGTCATGGTCAGCCTTCTTTTTAGTCAGCATGTTTTCCGATGAAGCCTCCGAGTAGAAATGGTCAATCTGTGATTCCTCTCTGGAGCCGTCAGCCATGCAAAAACCCAAATTCTCAGGTTTCTCCAAAGCTATATCTTGGGGTTCAGCTGCGTCTTCGCCGCCTGGCTCCTCGCCGCTCGCAGCTTCAGCACGATTCCCGGAATGACAAGCAGCTTCTGGAGCTGAGCCCATCTCCTGCTCGGCTTTATAATCCCTACCAGCTGTTTCCTGGTTTTGTTCTCGGCTGTTTATGTCTGGCGGAGGTTCCCCTTCATGGAGGCCTTCTATCAGGAGCTGTGGAGCAGCAGATTCATGCTGCTCTATTACATCACCGCAGACTATCAGCGGTGGGTTGGGAGGGTCTCCCGGGGTTGATACGGAGCCATTTAACTCTTCCCTCCCATCATCCTCTTCCTCTGGATTGGGCCCGTTGAAAGGTTCCTGGGTAACTTCTCTGTGTTCGTTCTCAGTGTTCTCTCCTTCCAGAGATCTTTGCTTTGCTTCTGATTCACAGGTGATTAAAACTTCGGAGCTCCCTGACAGCGGAGACTGGCCCATGACTGAGCAGTCTGCGTCTCCGCTTGCTGATGTCTCTGATCCGCTCTCCTCCTCCCTCCTCGTGGCTGTTTTGTCTCCTGCTTCCTGCTCAGGCTGCTCCTCTCCCTCCGTGGCCTTCTGTTCTTCCCGGATCACAGCCTCCTCTGTGTCAGCTTCCTCTGCCTGTTTACCGCAGCCTTCTGCTGGGACGTTTCCCACAGCGCTGTTTTCCCCTTCAGCCTCACCCTGTGCCCTTTCACTCCTGTCACACAAATTCAAACTGGAACTGGAATCAGGGCTCCCCTCCTGGTCTGTCTGGCAGCCCTCTCCCTCAGAGTTCAGACAGAGACACACCCCGTCCGCCTCGGGGTCGAGGCCGTGCTGCTGGGGAGGGATTTCTGACGGTGGAGGGAAACTGCCCTCCGTCTCCAAGTTACAACTCTCCCTAAGCTCACAAACAACAGTGTTGTTTCTCTCCTCTTTGACGCTTTCCCCCTCACTTTCTTTGGTTTCTGTAAGCTGGCACTCTGACGTTAAGGACGGCTGCAGGAGTAAGTCGGTTGTCTCGCCGTCACGACATTCAGCAGCTGTGTGCAGCGAGTCCAACTGTAGCTCCAACACAGAAAGTCCCTGCAGATCACAGAGAAATGTTACATTTCTGTTTTAATTTGGCAGAGGAACCAAAAGAGCTCTTCTCTTGTTCTTATCAGCAGCCAGCTCTGTGATTACATAAGGTGTTTCCCTGCTTGAACAAACAGGCCAGAAGGTTAGAAAAAAAAAAAAAAAGAAGCCAGTTAAAAAACAAACAGCCTGGACGAGCAGAAGCAGCAGAGCTCCCAGATAAAACCAGTCAGCCAGGAGATAAGGCAGGGAGGGCCAGGCTTCTCACCTTTGCATTGAGGTGGTTCAATAGGTGCAGAAGATACTCCACGCTCTCCTGAAGGGTCGGAGCGCGGCGTCCGGGGCGGATGCTCACCGTCAGAGTGTGTGTGTTCAACACTGGGGAGTTGCAGCACACTCGACAGTCTGCAGACACCAGCTGGAGAGTCTCAGGCACCTCGTCCGTCTCCGGGTCCGTCTCCGTCCTGCCGTGAAACGAATGCTGTCAAAAAGCTGTGATAAAAGGTCCCTCCTGGTAAAGCAGCTATTGAACAAAACCGAAATCCTTCTCTATAGTTTCAAACTTATTGAATGTTTGTCCGTTTTTTTTTTTCCCTCTTGCAGTGATAGTCCTGTGAAGGGGGCTACACCTTCCCGTTTGCGTAATCCTGGGTGGATCACATCAACACCAAGGCCGGCCAGCTGAAGTCACCGGCCTGGCTGAGTGTGACTTCACTTTTCATGAGCCGAATGGAATCATCAACACATGCAGGGAGGGCCGGAGGTTTTAAAACTACACCCGGCTACAGGGAAGCTCTCTAAGTGGCAGTTGTTTTTTTCAGGTAGTGGCATCCTCATTCTGAGTTACGTGCAGACTATTCTGCCATAAACACACAGAGAGAAAAAAGGGCAGCGTTTACGCTTTATGGTGAGCTTCAGTCCATTAGATAATTAAGTGTTTTTAAACAGAACAATTAAACAATTAGGTTTGGTTAATAGGGGTGTAAATCACATCCATAATGACGATTCGATTCAGTATAGATTTCCTGACCCAACGATTAGATTATTTTTGATTCTTTTTGATACACCACGATTCGATTCGATTAATCAATGAAAGCTGGAATATCGTTATGCATTTTTTTTTAGAAACAACAGCAAATAGAGCAGAAAATCAGTGCAATGACTGCAATGCCTCGGCTCCAGATGTCCACGCCCCCTCCACAGACGCTCCGCTGCTCCTCTCCCAAACTGTAGCTTACCGCAAACAGAACGCCGACTTCTTTTGTTTTTATGACCGAAATTGCGGAAAACAACTCGTGAAGTTTGACCCGCTAGAAGAGCGAGGTGCGCGAGAACGCTGGGACCCTTTTTCCACCTGGATCTCCGCTCTTTTTGGCCCTCATGTCCCTCCGTCGTCAGACTAAACTCGCCTCGGCCGTATCCAGACACACAACGCCTCCGCAGCACGGGACGGAGAATTA